GTGGGTGCCAAGACGCGTATGCTCTGACTGTTTGTGTGCTGACAGACCCATTCGCTTTGCTTCTCTATCCAATCCCGAGAAGGCAGAACAGACGATATAAAGGAGATACCAGACCTTATAGATTTCGCAAGATTACAAGAAACATAACAGCAGAAACTCTAGCTGAACTATCATCCGATCACTCCCCTATATTAATAAAACTATATGAACAACCCCAAAACATCGATATTGAGCCTCGTCCAACTTCAAATAACACCAGCTGGCTTAAATATAAAAAGTACATCAGTAGTCACCTTAAATTAAACGCTGCACTTAACTGCGAGGGTCATATAAATATACTCCCTTGTTGAAAATTATTAAAGAAACACTTACTTCAGTCGCTGGCCTGGCAAAATCAAAAATCAAGTCCAAGTACCACCTACGCCTACATAAGTTACTAATACCGAAATAGAAAAACTTGTGGCAGAAAAGTGGCGCCTAAGAAGACAGTGGCAGAGCCATCGCTCACCAACCTCACAGCTACTGTATAAAGCTGTCAGTAGAAAACTGAACAAGCACTCAAAAGTGCAGAGGATCGCAACTTGCAAAGGCACATTAAGAAGCTTTCCCCGAATTCTACTGAAAGATACCCTCTATGGAGTAATGAAAATTACCTCCCACCAGTGGCTACGAAAATGCCAATTAGGAACCAAAGTGGTACCTGGGCTCGTAGTGGGCAGGAGAGAGTCGAGTGTTTTTCACACCATTTAAAGAATGTGTTTCAGCCAAAGTGCCCAACGAACAACTTCAGGCTGCCACGGCTAACCAAAAATACAAATGAGCTATACACACCGAGCAAGACGAACTCTTTAGAAGTAAAAGCTATAGTAAAGCAGGTTATACCAAAGAAATCGCCGGGTGCTGATTTTATAACTCCAAAAATGCTAATAGAGCTACCGAATGTTGCGCTAGCAATTCTTTCTGACCTTTTCAACGCTATCCTCAAATTCGGTTACTTTCCAAAATCATGGAAAAGGTCGAAGAAAATCATGGTAGCCAAACCTGGAAAAGACGCTACACAGCCGTCCTCATACAGACCAATAAGCTTACTGCCCTGTCTTTCCAAAGTATTCGAAAAAGTACTCCTATCAAAGATATCTCCCTTTCTACATGAACGCAATTTAATACCAGCACACCAATTTGGCTTCCAGGATCATCATGGTACAACTGAACAAGTTAATCGAATTACAAATGAAACCAGAAGGGCATTTGAGCTCAGAGAGTACTGCTCTGCAATTTTTCTCGATGTGGCACAAGCATTCGACAAAGTGTGGCACGACGGTCTTATATATAAAATTAAAAAATTTTTACCGCCGAAATTCCACAAAACATTTGAATCATACATAACTAACAGAAAATTCGCTGTAAACGTATCTAATTTCACTTCAGAAGACATGTCGATAACGGCTGGCGTTCCTCGAGGTAGTATACTCGGGCCTATGCTGTATATCATCTACACTTCAGATATTCCAACTAGCAAGGATATACTAATATCCACCTTCGCTGATGATACCGCCTTAGTAAGTCGTAATAAATGTCCCAACAGAGCTTCAAGAGTACTAGAGGAATATTTACTACGCATAGAAGAATTGCTGGCAAACTGGCGCATAAAAGTCAACGAACAGGAGTGTAAACATACAACATTTTCACTCAGACCGCAAGTATGCCCCTCAATCAAATTAAATAATGTCCATATTCCACAAGCCAATGAGGTGACATATCAACGAATACACTTGGATAGGAGACTAACTTGGCGCAAACACATATCAACAAAGATTACACAAATGAAGCTAAAGTCAGCTAGCGTGAACTGGCTTATAAACAGTAAGTCAAAACTGAAACTAGATTATAAAGTACTCGCATATAATACAGTCATTAAGCCTATATGGATGTATGGTATTCAACTGTGGGGTACGACCTGTGCAACCAACATTGACAGGATCCAAAGATTCAAATCTAAAACGCTAAGGGCCTTAACGGGAGCACCGTGGTATGTCCGCAATGAAAATATATGTACATAGGGACCTTGGTATACCGATGGTTAAATCTGTATTCGACAGCAGCAGAGAAGAATATAAAATAAAACTGCGTAACCACCCAAATCCACTGGCAAGTGCCCTGTGCAACACAACAAATATAACACGCCTGCGAAGAAGGGATCTACCAGCCTTTCGTTGAGCGACATTAAACCAACAGGGCTCAACCCCAGGGTTTGAGCTGTATTATTTTAAATTAGACGTAAGATTTTTAAACTTGTTAGGCTTAATAGATGTAAAATAAACAGATCCAACAAATAAATGCACGTATATTTAAAAAAAAATGTCCGCTGGCACAGTTATTTATCGATAGAAACGGACTGTTCTACACTTTTATAATTTGTTTATAAATCGGTAAGTGGACAAAGTTTAAGCTAGCTATCAAGGCGAACGTTTTCAAATTTTAATAAAAAAATCGATCGACCAGACCAGGTGTCTAATTGTTTTTGGGCTCGCGGAATACGAATCTGTCCGTTTTGCTCCATCACGTCAGGATATGCGTCTAACCTCAGAACACATTACAAAAGTTTCCCCGTCGTAGCCAGTGCTGTCGTTTGTTTGTTTGAAGGGCCGAAAAATGCTTCCATGCAGTAGGGCTTATCCATTTATAATTATAATTAACGCGAATGCATACATTTGTATTACTTAGCAGTACAAATGAATCTCAATATACATTTTAAGCATATTATTTTAAGTATAGTATACACATATTTCATATAAACCTTAAGCAAATACGATGAATGAATTTTATAAATTAAAAACGCAACTTTCAATGAACTCCCCCAAAAGATTTTCTGGTTGCCGTTCCTGTCCGTAGCATATGTATAACACGGAAAATATTGTTTTGAGTTCTATCTTCAGTTAAAATTTCTGCGTTGTCATCACTTGCTTCACTATATCCGAACTGTGGATTTCATTTACAAAGACGGGCGAAATAGTGACGTAAAAATATGCAAAATTATAGCCACTCTCAGACTTCTAAATTTGAACGTATACTCGGTACAAGCAGGTGGGATGCATGGCGTAGTAAACAGTTGAAGTAATAAAACAGCTTTCTCGCTTTATTTTCTGACATTCGGCTGCCTTATAGTCACATTTTATAGGCAAATATTTCAAATAAGGCAGTGTCAAACTCTTTCTTCTCTCTCTAATATTACTTCACCTGGTATAATTCCACCATCGCACAGTGGTTGCTGCCATAGGCCAAAATTAAAAAAATGTACATATGTTAAAATTTTTACACCAAAATAAGCTTTGCAATCAGTTTTTTGTCCAAACTTCATGTTGTCATATATTTTTTGTTTTCATTCTAACGGTTGTTTCTCAAAAAAACAACAAAAGTGTCATCAATTGTTCATTGAATTGGAATTAACGTAATTAAAATATTGTGAAAAGCCGAGTGAGTTAAAATTATATGCAATGGATGTTGTACATAAAGGTATTGACTTTATTTCTGCAATTAAACTTTTAGATAGTTCGTGTTGTGTTCTATGCAAATCGTTGTTTTAGAAAAGTAGGATTTGTGTGTTTCTTGGTTCATTTTTCAAGTATTTAGGCAATGTTGTTAGTGAGTTGTATGTTTATAAAAAAAAATAAGCATTAAACAAACAAACAAAAAAACAAAAATAGCCGAAACTGGTCGCAGTGTCGTGTCCCTATTATTTTTCACATGACTGTATGGTGGCGTGTCCAACCCCGCCCACTTTTACATATTACAGTTTTTACTCTTAACAGACCTTAAATGCAACCACTGTGCATCGGTGGGGTGCATGCAATAACACCATTCGTAATAATTCCCATTACTTGCACGTTAAAAAGCTTTTTCAGAAGTGAGCTAGTGTCATTTTATTATTCTTTTTTCTAAACGGATATAATGTCACCAGTTCATAATTGCGAAAGGAAGGGAGGAGGGCGGGGGACGCGAGGGCGAGGGCAATTGTTAAGTTTAAAAGTTGGTCTTATTGCTCAACGAGAAATGAAATAAAGCAAATTAGTGTTATTTCACATTCAATTGGGAAACAACACAAATTTGCGTTATTGCCGTTTGTGCGCTTAAGTTTTATTTTGTGAAAGAAAATTAAAACTCACAAAACAACTTTTATTTTTTGAGTGAATTTTCATTTCCTGAACAAAAAAATAAAACTCATCACATAACAATTATTTTGTGACCGACAAATAAACCTCAACAGATATTAATTACTTTGTGAATGTAAAATAAAAATTATTAAATAAAGGTTTATAGCTTATCCGCGTAGATCTTTTAACAAGATCAATTTAATATAACACATCATATATTTTGGACGCTGATTATTTAGATTAAATTTTGAATCAAGAAGAGTTATTTTCAGTCCCTGAATATAACATAAACATTTTTTTATCAAGAATAACACGGTGCTACAAAAAAATCACGAAATACACCCGAAACAATATTTAGCGTAAGTTGTAGGTAGGGTCGAGTACAACATCAAAATAGGTTTCTTATATATCCTGAACCCTCCATTTTTAGCTATTTTCAACTATTGGGTTCGCCATTTTCAAGAATTTCTGTTGAAAATAAGCTCAAGCTGTGGCTGGCTCAAAAAATTACGTGACAAAAACGTGCCGAAAACTCACCTCTGCGGTTTTGTGGAAATTAATTTTACGCAGCTTCGCTTACACCGCTATGTATAGCACGTTCGCGGTCGTGATCTACGCGTCGTAAAAAAATATATATGTATATACGTAAATATAAAAATATATATATATATATTTCAAAAGGTTTCATAAACTAATCGCGATGTAAGACGAACAATACAACACAAGAATCTTGAAAATCGGCCCAGCCATTCTCGGGTTTTCGCGGGACTAACGCAGCAAGAACTTTTTATATCTATTTATGCATGTACATACATATGTAAGAGATAAGATAGTTGTTGTCGTACTTACTCCCAGAATTCTTTCACTGGATCTGTTAGATCTGAGGCGGAAACATTCGCTGCGGCAAGTTTGCAAATTTTTTTCATCGTTCCGTTAATAGATTTCTCCCAGCAATGTAAATTATTTCGTTCATAGGGATTGACACAGTTCACGGTATTCCAGAAGTTATTGCAAGAACGCCAAGGCACATCTAAAAATCGACTTATTTATTCTTAAGTTCTTTTATATGTTTATTTAGATATTAAATATGATATTTTCCACAGCCTAGTCACACTGTAGTAACGTAAAAACTAAAATAAAATGTATATATGATGCCATTAAGTAGTGCTCATAAACTGCATTCTTAGTTTTGTTCCATTACGTCATTTTTTCGAGATATTAGCTTACTAAGTTTTTGATGTTTATTTAGTAAGAAGGTACATCTTTGTCCTATTTACAAGGACTTTCCAGGGCCAAATTATTGCATACAAAATTTCCTAAAGAAATTAACCGCGGTCTCGTGTCTGGATCCCTGCCGAACCCTCTATACAAGAGGAAATCGCGGAAATCCTTCGATACTGCAACCCCACCTTATCGTCGCAGGATCAGCGCTGATCCTGCTATGGTCTCGAGAAAGTGGTCCTCAGAGTCCTCCCGACCGGAGCCAGGGCTGATGATCAGAACCGAAAATTTTAAGCTTTTGCTTTGTTTAGCTAAGGGAGAGCGGGAGACCAGGTTTAGATGTTGTGGTCGAGTTAGAGTAGTAGAGGAGGTAGGGATTACCTTTGCGAGTGGTTATGCATCGAGCTCAATGAACCCGTATGGTGTATAGGTTGCACATCCAGCCAACCACGCACTCCATATGCCTGCTGTGCGAGAGAGAGAGAGAGAGAGAGAGCGAGTGAGATATGCGGGCAGGCTGATGAAGCAGTAGCGCAAGATGTGACCCATTTACCGTGTATCCATTGGAGGAGTCTGCCGTAGGCTGCTGTGCAATGAGCTGGGATTTATTCAGGGATGCATTCATGCAGAGCCCCAGTGTGGCTTGTAAGCCGTAGCTTACTACCATACCAAAAATTACTCCGGGAGTGGAGTGGCAGCGATACCTAAAGCACCGTGTGATAGCCAAGCTGGTTTAGCGTTGACCATAGCTGAAAATGCCAGGGACTTATCAGTTCACTAAGTTCATCGAAGAGATATTTGAGAATTGCATAAAAAACGCATACCCAATTAAGAACGAGCGAATTACTTTTAAACACAAGTGCCTGTGTTTGTTCGCTGCACTTGATTTTGGGCGGGAGTGCAATACAAGTTCGTGTGTGTGTTCTCTACACTTGGTTTATGAGGGAAATGCATAAGTCGCTTAAACATGCTTGAAATTACTTATTTTGCTTCTTCAGGGTTTCCAAGCTTAATTTTAGCGACCATGCATATTTTGCTTATTTTAATTTATAAAGCTAAGTACGGATCCCTTAAGAAAATAGTAGTGTTTCTGAGATTTTGACATCTGATGTTTCATAGCCTTCTTCACGAAATAATGGAACGGGCATATACTTATGATGAAAACATGGATTGCCTTGTGCTCTTTGTTCCCAAAAAAACTTTAGAAAACCGTAGTAGAAAGCGCCGAAAATTTCTTAAGATATCCGTACGGCTTAGTCAAATTTTGCTTAATAGGTACATTTCTCTTGACCATTTCTTGAGCATTTTCTTGAGCAGTTCTTGAGATCTGTGTACCACGCTTAACACTTCAAAAGAGGTTGCTACTGTTAACGATTTACATGGATGCAGTGGAAATATCTACCCTCCTAAATCGATCTTTATTATTTGAGAATATCAAGCAACTCTTGATTGTGCGTTTTAATTTTTCGACAATAATAATTTTTCGATAACTAATGCAATAAACTGAATAAAAAAACAAAACACAAAACTGTTTTTGAGTTTTTTTGTTGTTTACGAGCATATTTGCAGGCAATGTTTTAAATGGTTTCTAAGCGCTTGCAATTGATGTTTTCTTGCTGCCGATGACCACACAACCTCCGGAGGCGTCGGAGGATTGTAGAGGCACAATCGGATGCTGAAAGCACTAGGGGAAGGTCCTCGGCTGGAAAATCCGTCTTCAGTCTAGGATGGCTTTACGATAAGTACTAGGATGAGGGCGCACAGCTAGCGCTCATTGAGAGACTCCTGGAAGATGAGGGTCCTACAGATCAATCTATAGCATTCTAAGGCAGAACTAAAGGTTTAAATTTTATCCAATTTCAGCAATGGATATACTGTGACAACCAGGCTGGAAGGTGATGCTGGAGAACTCTGGCGTACATGCCGCATAACGATGCGGTGGAACCACCTCCGGTGCTACTGAGGAACGCTCTAGCCGAAGTCAGGCGCAGGAGGGCTCGTGCCATTATAGGATCCGACGAAAAATCTCGGCACAACATGTGGGAAATTCGGACGCAATCTCTCGAGCTGGGGGAGTGCCCCTACGTTCGTAACTGCAACCAGGAAGGAGATTCTTGATCGCACCGTGGCTTCCTCTAATTTGGTAACTCGGATCTTGGATTGGAGGGTCTTCAGTGACCACTCTTTTTCCGATCACAGGTACATTGAATTTATACCGCACGAAGCGCGCACTCCTAGCACACCCAGGAATCTGAGCGCTACGAATTGGGAGCTACATTGTAGACATCTTCCCTTGGCTCTTCTCGATTCCCGGAATCATCGCTGTTATCAGAATCTGAGTCACACATGATGTCCACGTGTGTTTTCAATGCTGGATTTACTGCGTCATCTTGAAATTCTTCATGATCACGATCCTCAAACACGTGCTTACTCCACCAACAAATTTCTGGGTGTTGTACTGTTTTTTCAATTAGAATAAGTTAAAATATTTTTGTGTTACAAGCATTTACTACCAGAGCCATATTATGGTAGCGCTCGCCGTGCTCATCTGACTCAGTGGATACTGCTTGCTGAAATGAGCCAGATGATGATGTAAGTAGTGAATTTTTAAGGACATGTACTTTTTGGTACATATTTACCAGGGCAATAGCAAAAGCTGTTAATATCTGACTTGAACGCTTCCATTTTACTTTTTAAATAAAGTTATGTTCTATTTAAAGATTATAAAAAAAATTTTCGAACATAAATTCCCAAAAATCAACGGTAAGTTCTAGCATTTACAGCCGAAGCTGTTTCATTTGACACCTCATTTTCGAAAATCGAACGAATGATGCAGATTTGATGACTTTGACAATAAATCCTTTTGGGTGTTATATATATTGTTTTTTTTTGGGTTTAACTTATTTCTTTTTCGCTCTGTAACTATTTAATGAACAAACAAAAAAAGTGGTGCACGAGGATCCGTGGCATAGCGCGGGGGGGGCGGGGGGGTGATGTGGGTTTGGGGGGATAGATCCCCTCCTCGTCATTGAACTACAATTATTTACTTTTGAATTAATAACACAATACTATTTTATCCTTCTGATTTAAAACTTTTTTTATTTCAGACGGATGACAAATTATCTTTTAATGAATATATGAGTAGTCCACTTGCAAACAGCGTTATGTGATTTTATAAAAGTAAACCATAAATTAAAAAAAAAACGTCTACGACAACAAGTAACATCCGAACTGTATCTTTTTTTATTACCTGAATATTTGGATAAATAAGAGCCTAATACCATTAAAAAAAATAAAATTGCAGCATGGTAGATTTGCAAATTTTATATTTAAAAATTTAATATTGCAAGTTTTGAAACAGTAACTTTTACATAGGTAGCTTTTTTAGCTTTTCGCGTTCTCTCCTCTAGGAAGATTGGTTTGCTTCTTTTTTGCGACCTCTTGCACTAGGCACCGAAACTACCACGTTTTCTTGCAGTTTTCTAAGTTCATACGAAGAGGAGACATTTGAAAGTGTATAAGTAAGTATTATAGCGACTTTTGCAAGAGTAATTAACATTTCATGCTATTTTTTTCAGAATATAGAAAAAAATTTTACTCTGCTGTTAGTGGACATCAAACCCAACAAAAACTAAAAATCTAAAAAAAATTTACATAGCGCACTTTGCAAGTGGACTACCCAATTGTTGAATATGCTATCTTATTTGTCCCTTCTTTTTATACAATTAAGGAGCGGCTGAATGGTTTAACGATGTTAGCGCTACATAATGATGTGCCGATTACAACACAAGAAGTAATTGAAAAAATGTGTGTTAAGCAACGAAGATTAAAAATCGCTTTATAAGTAATAAGATTTTGTAGACTTGTACATAAATAAATGTAAATAGATACGCGTAAATATATAAATATGCAAATATGTTCAATGTGTAAAAACTGAAGCGTATACTAACGAAACTTCTACAAAACAAAACTGGACTACACACTAATTAATTAAAATGGTGTAGTAATTTAATTTTTTAAATTTAAATAAAGCATGAATTCCCCAGGGAATAACCGAGTAGACAAAAAATATACACTGAAGAGCAAAACTGGAACAACAGAACGGAAAGTTAAGTTTGTGGTAATGTACTTCTTCAGTTTATTTACTTTATGGTAATTCAAACTTGCATTTCGCCTTACCGATGTTTAACTAAACGTTTGACCATAAACATTTTAAGATTTGCACATGGAAACTCAGAAAAAAATGACCAAATAAAAATGAACTGGATTGTTCCAGTTTTGCACCCTCTTAGTATTTGCTGAATTTTATAATTGAAAGAGGAGTTCTGGCTCATTTCTAGAAATTTTGTAATCAAGGCGCGTGGGATTTTCGCTGTGAGTGCTTTAAGTGCACAACCCAAGCAAAAAGAATTTAAAGTTTTGCAAAACGGTCAGAAAGGCTACGCTATAAAGAAATAAATCATATCGGCCAAATGTCCGTTTTATGGTTATCTAAACAAGCGATAAAAGGGCGGACCTCAGTCTGCAAGATCAAAAGAGCACAAAAAATTGCTTTTTGCTAGGCTAGGCATATTGGAGGGTCTCTGAATACCAAGAAACTTTGATTCAAAATCAAAAATTACTGCTTTTTCACCACAAAGCAAGTGACTCGACATTATGTAAGACTTGGGAACAAGTTATTGCAGCACAAAGATAAAGAGGAGAAAGCCTGCTTTGACATCCAGAAAATTTGTTTGTCAGAAACGCACTTTTACTAAGAAAAAACATTGGATTGGTATTATTTTGAAGCGGGAATTTACAAGTTCTTCA